GTGTCCTCAAGTGGAGGAGATAGTCTTTGGGGTGGCTCTGTGGTTCTCTGGATGGAAGGAAATCCCATTTTCTTGTACCACTCTGGAATGTTGTTTATCCTGTGGCATAACCTTCACATTGGTAGGCTAAAAATCCCCTCTCATGATTTGAAATCTACAAGATTAATTTTTCTCGGAGGACATGGGCCATGATTTGTTTGTTCAGCATCCCCAGTGGAGTCAAGTTCAAAGTTGTCACTTCTGACTGAGTTGGATTAGCCACTCAGTACTGTATCAAATCTGATCTGACCAGAAAACCTTCAGCTTTCATTATTTTCTCTGTAGTATTTAGTATTCTCTGTAGCATTTGGGTGTCTGTGTGTGTCTGTGTGTGTGTGCACGTGTGTGTATGTACTTATAGGTCGGGTACATGAGTATGGAGGCTGGAGGTTGACTTTTTGTCTTCCTCTATTGCTATCTTTCATTTCTTTCCTTTTTTTCTTTATTCTTTTTAACCCCAGCTGACCTGGAATTCACAGCGTAGACCAGGCTGACATCAGTCTCACAGAGATCTATCTGCCTGCCTCTGCTTCCCAAATGCTGGGATTAAAGGCATATGCCACCAAGTCTGGCTCTATCTTGTTTTTTTGAGACAGGGTCTCTCACTGAACCTAGAGCTCACTGATTGCATAGACTGTGTGGCCAGCAAACTCCAAGGACCCTCCTGTCTCCACCCTGCCAGTGCTGGGGTTCCAGATGCACTTCCATCTTGCCCAGCTTCTACCTGAGGCTCCAAACTCAGGTCCTCATGCTTGCACAGCAAGCGCTGTACTCATGGAGCCATCTCCTCAGCCTCTCATGGAGTGTTTTTGAGTGCCCAAGTTAAGGCTTGGATCAAGGCCATCTCCATGTGAAAATTATGGCTAAATTCATCTTTCTGAGAAGCGCAAGCTTCCTTCCACAGGCTGCTGGGTGAGGTGGGAATCTAAGGTTTGTAACAATTTGGATGAGCTGGCAGAAAATTTAGCCTTTGCTCCCCCAACCCTTTCTTTGTGAAAGTACAAAAAAATAGTAAGACGATGCTGCTTGATGCTGCTTGGAGAGATGTTCAAAGAAGACATTTAAAACCTCAGGGGAAGCACGCCCATTCACAGATCAACAACTGTTTGCTGTTACATTCTTAGCTAGTCTTTGAGGCAGTTTTCCCAGAAACCTCTCCTGGTCACACCTGGTCCCCATTACTGTATCTGTTTGAAAGTAATAAAGCTGCCCTTCTCCAAAGTGCTTCGAAGAGCAGTAATTCACTGGGGCCTGCCCTTAGGTTGTCCAGATCATCCTGGCTGACAGTTTCATGGGATGACTGTTATCCACAGCCCTGCAGGAAGGCACATTCTGCCCAGACAGAAGCAATCCATGGGCCTATCAGTTGAGCGTGGGGACAGGAGTCAGTGTGTACCTCCCTAGGCAAACACATCTGCCTTGTACGTTCAGTGGCAGCTCTGTCTTCTGTCCTCAGAAGCAGGTACATTCAGGCTGGGCACAATTGCCTGTGTCCCTAGATGGATGCCCACTCCCTGCTCAGCACAAAAAGGCTGGGGAGAGCTGGGGAATTTGTGATCCTTGGGAGAGTGTGAGGCTCTCAGGGAAAGAGTATCCCTTTCCTTTGATGGACAGGTGAAGGGGGATGTTTCTCTCCCTTAAAGGAGGGAGACCCCTAAGAGACTCATTTTTTTCCCCTTTAAGACAGGCTCTCATGAAGGCAAGGCTGGCTTTAAACTCGCTATGTAATCCAGGATGACTTTGAACTTCTGATCCTCCTGTCCCCGACCTCCTGGATTAACTTGATTCCTTGGAGCCCCCAGGATCTGAGCTTCTTGTTGATCTGAATAAGGCTTTCCAGTGCCAGGCCCGCTTCTGTGCTTCTCTGCGCTCTTTCGTCACTTGCCTGTTCCCTAGTTGTGTTTGTAGTGGCACTTTCCAGGGCTATGGAGAGGAGCCTCTATCTCCCTGTGATTCAGTTTGATCTGACACTCCTTGACTGTGGATTTGTATGCCCAGTCCTGACCTGGAGTTGCCAGCATTAGCTTCTACAGTGTATAGAGGCAAATGGTAGGAAATATTCCTTCTTGGAAGGGCCTCCCTGCTCAGGGTGGTACCCTAAATCTCCAGGCCACTGTTTTTCTCTGAGCCCATCTCTCTGCTTGCCCATCACTTTCCCTCCTTCTTGCTGTTCTGTCTGCCACCCGCCCCCCATCCTCTCAGATGACTGGACCATGCTACTGACCTCCCACAGGCCCTTCCCTCCTGCCCTAGACAAGCATCCGGAAGCCAGCACCACTCCCTCTCCTGCCACTGCTCTGGGATCAAAGTTGGAAAGTGGAGGGAGGAAGAAGGAAGGAGGAAGAAAAGGAAGGAAGGAGAGAAGATGGGGAAGAGAGAAGGAGAGAAGGAGGAAGCGATGAGGGAAGGGAGAGAGAGAGAAAAGGAAGGAAGGAAGAGAGAAAGAGAAGGAGGCAAATCTTCACAGGCTTCCTTGTGAGGCTCTAGGGTTGTATCTAGTAAAGCCAGCGCATGCCTGGCACACGGTGAGGGCTCTCCACAATGTGTCTTGTGGCCTTTGATCTGATGTGCTGGTTTATTCATTTAAGAGTCAGAGGAGGAAACCTGCCTGCCACATTGGCTTCCTTTGCTTGGCTGGTCTCAGGGCCTACACCCCGCCTAAGAGGTAAACAGCAGCACTCATCTCTCTAGGCAGGTGTGGGCTGCTCTGCCCAAATTGGGTCTGTGAACAGCAAGAGTCATGTCAACAGCTCAGTCCAGGATTGAGGAGAGAGAAAAGGTTTAACCCCCTCAGCAGATCTGCTATGTAGAAACACAAACAAATAATGAGTATGTTAATTACTAATGATAGGGTTTACCATTTCCAACAGCACCAGTCATCGTTGGAATCTCCCCACAGCCTGTGAGGTAGGATAAGTGTTCTTCCTGTCCTGGATCTTATGGAGGTGAGCAAGAGCTGGAGAGGACAGGCAGTGTTCAAGTTTACACTCAAATTCAGAGCTGAGTGTCCCTTCCTTCTGGGTAGGGATCCCTTGTTCACTACTTCGCCCACTCCATTTTAGGTGACCCTTGGGCACCAAGGATGATGCCTGTATTGGGGCATGTTTCTTTACTTTCAGCACCCCTAGGAGGGGAGAGTACTCCAGGATGGCCCAGGATTTTGGCCATATTCAGGTCCCAGAACTTTCCTCAGACTGGCCCTAGACAGGCCCCAAGGCCTGAAAGTTGTGCTCCTGGTGACCGGGTACAGAGATAAGAGCAAGGGCCTTGCAGTAAGACCACCCTGGGGTTCCAAACCTTAGGTGCTTGCAAACTAAGTGACTCCAGATGAGTCACCCATGTGCAGAGTCACATTCCTTCAGCTGTAAGAGGGACACTGGAGAGGAATAATATCCTCAGTTTCTGAGTTGGACATGGTGACTCATGCCTGTAATTCTAGCACTTGGAAGGCTGGAGGATTGCTGCAAGTTTGAGACTAGCCTGTGCTACATAGTAACCCCCAGAAGAGCCTGGAATACAGAGTGAGACCTTGCCTCACAAAACCAAAACCCAAACAAAACAACTTCCCTCCATCTCCCCCAAACCAATCACCACCACCACCACCATCATCAGTACCTTGGTTTCTTAGGCTTGTCATGAGTCTCCTAGCCTCCTCTTCTCTGTGGTCAGCCAGGAAGAGGCAGTGCAGGTAAGGGAGGTGATGAGAGGTAAACTGAAGATGAAGTGACTGGAAGAGGGAGAGCTTCTAGCATTTTCTCCATGCACCTGCAGCCTTTTCAGTCTTCCAGTGCATTGTATACTTAACTCAGGATAGCAAATCTTACAGATGAAGAAGCTGAGGCCTGAGGAGGAAGCAGTGGTGGGTGTCCTGTTTGCTCTGATTGTCTGTAGATAAACCCTATGGGGCAGATGTTGTTAAATCTACTTATACGGAGGAGACTGAGGCTCAGACAAGAGGCCACTAGCATAAGGTCCCAGATTCCAGGGGAAATCTGACCACAAAAATCTAGGGCTGGCTAGATGGCTCAGTGGGTAAGCCACCAAGACTGTTGACCTGAATTCCATCCCTAGGGTCCACATGGTAGAAGGAGAGAACAGACTCCTTGCAAGTTGTCCTCTGACCACCACAAGCCAACCATGGCATCACACACAGTAAATAAATAAATAATAAATAAATAAGAAACCCTTCTGTAGTTCTGCTCTACCTGGCATTCTTGTCTCTAGACTTCCAGGCCCAGGGTATTTTGGTCCTATGATCCCTTTGTTCTTCTCAGTGTCTTCAAAGGACACTGAATTTAGGGGTAATGGCTGTGCTTTTGCCTTCTCAGGGCATCTTCAGTATTAGTAAGCTCTTGCTAGAAGAGGCTGGTGGGAAGTGAGTGCCTGAGAGCCAGCTCTGGACAGCTGAGGACTGAAGCCCTCATATGGCCTCTTTCCCTGAGGAAGAGCGGGCTGTAGTTGTACCTTGCAGCTTTCTATCAGGGGGATGAGCCGTGGGGAGAGGGCTGAAGTCCCCTGCTGTTCCTGCCCAGTACTGTAGCCTACACCCAAGTGGATGCCCTGTCATATCCACTCAGGAGGTCTGGTCCCTCTGGAGCAGGCCCTGGGAGAAAGGCTGATCTGGTGGTGGGTAATGTGCTCAGTGTTCTTGCTTTTATTTTTTTTGCGACTGAGTCTCACTTCACACTGGCCTTGAACTCACTATATAGCCTAGGCTGGCCTGAAATTCTTAGTGATCCTCCTGCCTCAGCCTCCCAAGTGCTAAGATTACAAGCATGAGTGACCCATGCATCAAAGTGCACTCAATTCTGTGCCCAAGAAGGCCGGCGGGGGCTGTGAAAAGGCTAACTTCCTTTTGGCAGTTATTCCTTTTTGGCATCTGTAAGTGGATTTAATAGGATCTTGGCTTTCCTGTTGCCACACAAGGAAACAGAAACCAGAGCAGAAGGGGGTCTGAAGATGGTTAGCTGGCCGTGTTCCTCAGAGAGAGCCCCAGGAAACTGTTGGAAACTCTGTCGTGTTGGGGTCCCCTATCACTAGGGCAAGAGAAGGGGTAAGAAACTGGGGCTCCCCAGAAAGTCTGGCTCTGGGCAGAAGAGAAAAATGGCTGGTCCATCCACAGGTCAGTGCAGGGCTCCTGGCTCCCCAGCCTGTGTATCTTTGAGCCTGAGTCTGCTGGAGCTCTGGCCTCTCTGCATTCAATGCTAAGAAAGCACAAAGCTTGGCACACAGCTCAATCCTTGTTAGTTCTGCTAAACTGTTGGCTTGGTAGTGCTTTGTTTGGTTGTTCTTTGTTTGTTTGTTTGTTTGTTTAGAGCAGGCTATGTCACTATATAGCCCAGGCTGGCCTGGAACAGAAGATCCCCCTATCTAACCCTGGCTGGGATTACAGGCGTATACCACCATGCTTGACTTTGAACTGATTGGTTAGCTTTCTCCTCCCCTACTTTCCCACTCTCCTACTCCTGGGCCTTTGCTATCCTGGTGCCTCCTCTAGCCTTCAAGTTGTTCTGGGCCAGCCGTTTCTCAGTTCAGTTCTCACATCTCAGTTTGAATGCCACTTCCTCTAGGGAGTCCTCTGCTACTAAACTAAGACCCTTTCCTGTTATGGGCCTCATGGTGTCCTGACTATCCCTTTCAGGGAGCTGAACCCCTAGTCCCTCCCTTTCTCCTCCTCACGTTTCTGCCCACCCATGAAGAAGGGGTAGTTGTGTGTGGCTTCTTTACATTCAAGACTTGGCAGAGGGTCCCTCAGAGGGGCTGCACCATTCACAAAACTTGGAAGAGAAGAGAAAGGGGTGGGGTTGGGGCAGGTCACCAGGTCACCAGGTGCCCTCTGGGAGCCACGGGCAGGGGGATTTAGCCAATCCAGAGGTTGGGACTCTCCTGCCAGGACTGCTTTTCCCTTCCCGGTGGTTTTCATTATTTTTCATTCCCAGACTATTTTGGAAGCTGGCTGCCATGGGAACTGAGTCTTTGGAAAGCCCAGGCCTCTTTTTTCCTCCTGCCCCCGCCCTCCTTCCATCTCTATTCCCTCTTAATTGGTTTTTAGTTCCCTGGCTTTCAGGCCGTCTGTTTATTTTGATTGCAACTCGACAGAACAAATCTTTAATGAACCAGCTTGTGGGGAGAGCCATTAGCAGCTGCCTGCCTCCAGGGAGTAGGGGAGGCGCCTGGCCTAGGCCCTAGCCTGGACTTCTACCCCAGTGAGGAGGCCTTGGCCAGGCACTGAGTGGCGGCCTTTGCAGGGGCTCAATCTTCCTTCAGGTGTAGTCTGGAGATGAGGACAGAGTCTTCCCTCTCTAAGCTATCAACAGCCTCAGCTAGATGGCCTCCATAGCTCTCTGAAACACTTGGAGAATTGGGCATCCTGGGGCTCCCCAGCTGTCCCAGTAGCTCCAGAGGAGTGTTCTCTGAGAACCTCATGGCCCAGACAAGGGGAGGGGTGAGGCTCAGGAACAAAGGGGACTTGTTACCTGGCCAGTGAACCTTGGAGGAAGGCACAGCAAATTTCAATAATTTCCCAAATGTCACTTATACTCAGGCCAAATTGGCAAATGATGGTCTAGGCTGGGTTCCACAGGCTCTGGCTTTCTGGAGCAAATGCCTTTGTCTTGTGCTGTCTGATCCTTACACCGTTTATGGGGCTTCTCCATACACTGGATGTGCGTCCAAAGAGTCTTGCAAACAGGAAATGCCATCTCAATGTGTGTTATTGTTGTGGGTGTAGAGTACAGAATGATCCAGGCAGCTTCCTCACCTTCAGTAAGCCTTGTCTTCAGATCTCACAGTCATGGTCAGTTGCCCCCTCCTCTGTGACCTCATTCTGGCAGAGCCATTTATCTTAGAAGCAGAGACCTATGGGCCATAGGAACAGGAAACTCCCTTCAAACTCAAGCCCTGTAGCCTTCAGGCCTCTATAGTTGCTACTCTGAGAAACACAGGATGGCCTTTGTCTTCTGCCCATCTCTGCCTTCTGTCCAAGGGGCTCTGCCTTTTATGGGGTCTGTGCGGTTTCTTTGGGAAGGAGGCCCCCCCTTCCCTGGTCCTGCTTGGCTCCTCAGCCTCTACTTATCCCCGATGGTGATCACTCACTCAGTCTTTTTCAGTGGCTGAACTAGGAAGAGGCCTCTTTGGCCAGTGGAGATAAATGAACGTCAGATGGCGGGGGGTGGGGGGGTGGAAAGAACTTGTTCTTAATAGAAACAAACATGGGAGCCATGAATTCTCTTCTTCTTGTCAGCTGCTGTGCTAGGTAGCACCATAGCTGTCCTGTGCCTCTTCAGAGAGCCAGAATAAGGACAAAGCTGACCGTGGAGAATTACAGAGGACCTGTTGATATGAGAGCAGCTATCCAGGTGGGCCCTGGGAGGAGAAGGGTCTGTCTCTTGACTTCTTGTTACCTCCCATGATACATTTCTTTATTCTTTAAACCACTGTGCTAATTTTGGTTCTTTTTTTTTTTTTTTTTTTTTTTCCGGTTTGGATTAGCCACTTTGCCTGCCTGCTTGCCTCTCGTTTTTATAGCTGTACCAGACTATACCATATTGTGCTGTTGTCAAGAAGAAATAGGCATTCGGCATTGCCATGTTTGTAAGTTGGGAATTGCCTTTGGTTACTTCATAAAAAGCCTGGACGTAGGTGGTCTGGTGAAGTCTATCTGTTCGTAAGTGTCATTAGCAATTAAGACTTTCACTACTTCTCTCATGTGTCATCCTTGACTTTGTTCTTTTGATCAGGCTGAGAAGAGGGGGAAAGGGAAGAAGTTCCTGCCAGCCGAACTTTTTTTTTTTCAAGAAAAAAATACCTTGGGGCTGGAGACATGGCTCAGCAGTTACAAGCACTGGCTGCTCTTGCAGAGGACCTGGGTTCGGTTCCCAGCAGCCACATGGTGGCTAACAACTATCCATAATTCCAGTTCCAGAGGATCTAATGCCCTCTTCTCCTCTTCTTGCCTAGGTGGGCATTGCATGTATGAAATACACTTTTAAGCATGGAGGCAAAACACTTGTACACATAAAAAAAAAATAGTTGTGGGGTGTTTTTTTTTTTTTTTGGCCTTTTTTAAGACAAGGTCTCCCTATAGCCCCAGCTGGTCTGGAACTTGCTATGTAGACCAGGCTGGCCTTGAACTCACAGAGATCTGCCTACCTCTTGTCTCCCAAGGGCTGGAATTAAAGGTATGTGCCACCACACCTGGAAAAATAGATTTAAAAAAAGAAGAAGAAAACAAATACCTTTCCAGGAGACCTACCATAAAATTCTTTATAGCCTTTATCTGTTAGAAACAGGTTGCATCCTTAGCTAGAATTGGAGAAATCTTTCAAAGGAATTTTGCTGCTCCGAACACTTAGGATTTAGTGGGAAAGGAGAGAGGGTCCACAGTGGCTGGGCAACCAAAACCCAGAGGATGCTCAGCGTTACTGCTTGAGTAAGTGACACTCAGTTTAGCTCAGGGTCTCCTCGCCTCCTTCCTCCTCCCACAGTTGCTGAAGCAGAACACCTGCTCTGGCTCATCAGTTCCTTGCCAGACATCTTCCTATGCTTATAAGATGCAGACCAATTCCTTGGCCTGGAATTTAAGGTGCCCCTACCCCAAGAACTGGCTATAACCACATCTAGACGGATTCACATCCTCTGTGTCTGCCCTCCACTTTCTCTGACTGATTGGAGATCACTGATCCTTTCTGCCTGGTAGAATTAATCACCTTTAGGGTCATCTTGCCCCCAATGCTAACTTACCTGCTCTGGACCTACCCCTACTCTGAGCCTTCCCCACCCTAGACAGGCAACTTATGCCACTCAAATGCAACATTTATCGTGTATGAGCCATTCCCTGCAAAGGTAAAAGTGCATCCATGTGTTTGTGTGCTCTAAGTCAGTGCCAGTCAGCTCTGGCAACCTCTATCCAACGGCTCTGAGAACATCCCAGAAACATTGATGAATTTCAAAATATAGACTTAGACCTTGGAATTTGCTTGCTATGATTTGAAAAGTTCAAGGTCAGTATTGAATTACTGTGGCCTGTTAGGTGATCACCTCTGCCAAGACAAGTTTCCTGTTTTGTTCACCACTATTACCACCCCACCCTCCCCAACACACACACACACACACACACACACACACACACACACACACACACAGAGAGAGGCATCTGGGACTTGTGGGAACTGAAACAAACAAACAAACAAAAAAACAAACAAACAAAAACATGTTGAAGATGACAAAGGCAGGCACTCTGGGTCAGCTTGATTCCTTAGCCTCCCCCAGACCCTGCCCTGTGGCCTCCTTAATTCTAGCTCAGGGAATGGAGGAGCCAGGTCCCTCAAGTCCATTAGAGATCACACAGGTCTGCTCTCTCTCCAGCTGTCCAGAAGTCAGACTTCTAGGCTTAGCACAACCATGTCACCAGGAACACCAGTACTCTCCAATGCTCTGCTCTCCCATCTTCAATGTTTCCAAGGGTTACCTACCATGTTCTAGAAACACTTAGGAAAGCTCAGCTTCAAGAGGAAGCAGAGGTGAGAAGAAATTGGATATGGGGAACAAACAGCAGGCATAATTTTATTTGAAGACGAGGGAGAGGTTGAATGACTTGCAGTGTCCTACAGGAAGAAAGTGGCAGAGCTGGGGTCTGCCTGACTCTAAAACCCGGTGGCTTCCATTCTGTCATCTTCATAATGCAGATTCCAAAGTAGTTATACAAATGGATGAATGCAGTAAATAAGAGCTCTGGTTGCTCCAGGTTCTTGTAAACACTTGGTACTGTCAGTGCTTTTAATTTAGCCTCTCTGTTTAGTGGGTGTGAAACACTATCTCATTGTGGTTGGTTGTCATTTGTGTTTCCTTTATGGGAGTTTTTGTCCTTGATATGACTTTATCTTCTAACTACCACCTCTGTGAAGGAGTGTAGCTCCTGGGTGTGGGAATGCTAGGGACATACCACTCTGCTACTTGGAGGCCAAGCAAAAGGGGAGTGCCTGGGAGCAAGGACCATATTCAGGAAGAAGCAATGGGATGCCAGAGCCAGGGAAGAGCAGTTCTTAGTTCTGGCCCTTTCTAGTCACCACATTCTGGGCAACTGCATCAATTTCCACCTCTGCCAATGCAACAGGGATGTTGTGAGATTAAAAAGACAGGAAGAATGAACAGTATCTGGAACAGAGGTACACAGAGATCAGTTACCTACAGGGCTATGCCCAGTGAGTGACAGCTGTTGTTACTGTATAGCGTGATGAAGGAGGAGAAACAGAGCAAGGCCTATCAGTCCAGCAGCCACAATGGCAGGACATCCTGTGACTGTGAGAATTCCTTTTTATGCTTTGAACTTTGGTTCTCATCAACCCTTGCCTTGAGAAATCACAGGTCTCAATGGTGCAGTAGTGTATGCCTATAATCCCAGTACTCAGGAGGCAGAGGCAGGAGGATTGACACAAGTTCAAGGCTAGCCTGGTCTATAGAGTGAGTTACAGGCCAGTCAGGGCTGCATAATGAGACAGGCCTCAAAAAAACAAAATAAAACAAAACAGAAAAGAAATGATCAGCTTCAAGCTAGGCCTGATGGTTTCAAGCAGACCTCTAATCCCAGGTACTTATGAGGATGAGGCAAGAGAATCATAAGTTCAAGTTTTTTCAGGACTACAGAATGAGTTTCAGGCCAGTCTCGGCAATTTAGTAAGACTCTATCTCAAAATTAAAAAGTAAAAAGAGAGTTGAGCTATAACTCAGTGGCAGAGTGTTTGCCTAGGATATATGAGGTCATAAAGAAGAGGAAGAGGAGGAGGAGGAAGAAGTGGAAGAGGAGGAAGGAAAGGAGGAAAAGAAAAGGGAGTGGGAGGGGAAGAAGCAGCATGACCAGTCTCGGTATTCTCCCTGTCTTTGATATCCTTCCATAAGAACGCCTGACCCCACCACATAGGAATGAGATTATCACCTGTTTCCCCTAAAGACATGTTATATAAGAATATTTGAGCTAAGGATGTAGCTCAGTGGTAGAGTACTTGCCTAGTATGTGGGAGGCCTTGAATTTACCCCAGTACTACAAAGGAAGAGGGAAGGGAAGAAGGAAGGAAGAGTGGGTAGAAGGGAGGTATAAAGGAGGGGAAGAAGGAAGAAAGGATGAGTTGTGAGTGTAGCAATAAAAGTCATTCTGATGTCTACCACAGCAGCTTTCCTCAATCGAACAAGGGCTTTCCGCAGTTTTGATGTGATTCATCTGATGTCAGCTTTGTTTTCTCCTGTTTTTTGTCTGTTTTTGTTTTTTGAGATAGAGTCTCACTATGTAGCCCAGGCTGGCCTCCAACTCTTGAGGATCCTCTTAAATGCTAGGAATACAAATGTGCATCACCACATCTAGCTTCTTCCGTTTTGTCATGAACTGCTTGCTATTTGTCCATGGGAGGAGGAACAGCCACAGAATTGTCAGCAGAGAGTACTAAATAAGTCTATGGTCAAAGCCAGTCACAAGGACTGACAAAATAAAGGTCTTGCTAAGCTGGTGGTCTTTGGAAGATGCACTTTGGTTGAAGATCACCATCTGACAATGTTACAAGCTTGAGTTTTTCTCTATCCTGATGTTGTGCTCCTAAAAGCTGGTTTGGGAGGCAAATATGTAGAAATACTCATGTTGTTGAAGACTAAGGTGGAGATAGCCAAGAGGGAAAGGAGCCACACACTTGTTATCCACTTCACGGCAGTTCCCAGGCAGAGTACTTGCCTAGTATGTGGACGAGTACTAGCCCACTCCTCGACCAGGCTGGCCTGCTCTATAGGGTTCTCATTGCATGATTCAATTCTCTCTCTCTCTCTCTCTCTCTCTCTCTCTCTCCTCTCACTCTCCCTCCTTCCCTTTCTTAGTGTATGTACTTGTGCACACCCATGGACTTGGAGGCTGGAGGTAGAGTTCGAGTGTCTTTATCACTGGACCTGAAACTTATGGATTCAGCTAGACTGGCTGGCCAATGAGCTTTGGGGATCTGCTTTTCTCACCCTCACACCTGCCTACCCAGTGCTTGACTTTTTTTTTTTTTTTTTTTTTTTGAGATAGGGTTTCACTATATCAGTATATGGTCCTGGCTGGTCTGGAGCTCACTATTTAGATCCGACCGATCTCAAACTCAGAGATCTATCTGCCTCTGCCTCCTGGGTGCTGAGATTAAAGGTATATGCCACCATGCTCAGCCCATGTCTGGATTAAAAATTTTTTTTTATTATTTTTATCTTATGTGTATGAATGTATTGCCTGCATGTATGTAAATGCACCCATGTCATGCCCATAGAGATCAGAAGAGGGTGTCAGATCCCCTGGAACTGGAGTTAATGATGGTTGTAAGCTGCAATGTGGGTGCTGTGACGCAAACCTTGGTCTTCTACAAGAATAGCCAGTGCTCTTAACCATTGAGCCAACTCTCCAGCCCCTCCATGACTAGCTTTTTACATGGGTTCTGGGGATCTGAACTCAGGGCCTCATTCTTGTGCAACAGGCATTTGGGCCATCTTCTTAGCCCTATAACATGAGTCTTATCCAGAGCCCACAAATAGTACAGTTCTACCAAGAATAATCTGAAATTACAGTGCTGTCTTTGAGGGCACCTTTAATATGACCCAGACTGTCCATCTAGAGATGCTTTCTACCAAGAGTTAGTAAATTTTTTCTATAAAGGGCCAGATTTTCAATAATTTAGACGTTGTGAGCCACATACTTTCTTGCTAACACTGAACTCTATCACCATGCTGTAAAGCAGTGACATGTAGTCCTGAAGGAAACAGGCCTAACTGGAGGCCAGTGAGCTGAATTTACTGAAAAGGACCTGAGCCAGGACTGGTCAGTAGGCTGAAGTTAATGGAACCCTGCTCTGGTACACACCTCACTTGCCAACATCATCATCCTGGGCCAAACAGTAAAGGTAGGGTATGGACAGGAGTCAAGACCTTGAGGCCTAGCTGCAAACCTCCACTGTGTTTCATACAGTTACCCTCTGTGGTAGAACATGACCCTGTTCTCTTGTTTTTGTTTTTATTTGCATGTTTATTTTCAGATTTACTGAAGACATTCTTTGTTGACCACCATCAAGAAAAAAAAAGCCATTCAATTTTGTGTTTCCTCCTCGGGAAGCCCCAGTCTGCTGCTCTAATGATTGGTATGTGTCTTTTGCTGACACACTTGGTTACTCCACAAGACAGTGTCCTCTGCTCAGTGTCCTCTTTCCACACTACTGCCTGAGCTTCAGGCAATAGAGAAAGACCAAGTAGAATTCCCTAGTCAAGATTAGTGAAACTTTCAGAAGTACTTGAATCTCTGTAGTCCAAGGTATCCCCTCGATCTTAGAACAGTAAGATCAACTCCCTTTGAGAGTTCTGGAGTTCCTTATGAAGTGGTATCTAGCCTACCCTAGTTCTAGGACTACCCTCTCTGATGCTAGAGTCTGCCCTGTTAGAAGCAGATACAGCTCTGTGTGTGTGTGTGTGTGTGTGTAAGGGATTCAACCTATAGGCCAGTCTTATTACCAATGTCCCTATTCAATCTCAGAACAACTTCAAACCTCCAGTTGGTGATGAATGCCAATGATTTCAATTTTAAAATAAAAGGTTGTTCAACCTGAACATTGGAAACATTAATCTTTTGTTCTGAAACATAAGGATTTTTTTTTAACTTGTAAAAAGTATCACATAAATTGCTTGAAAGAACCATCCACTCATAAGATTTGCATTCTTGTTACTGTGGTGTTCAAAACAAATGGTGTCTTAGAAGATTTCTTGGGATACAGAATAAGACTGTTGAGAGGCATCACATGTCTTTCCCTGGGTGGGCAAACAGGTCTAAGAAAGAAAAGTTACTCAGAGACAGAGTCCCCTTGCCCTGCTGTAGGGAATTAGGCTTGGTCCTCCCAGACTTGTTGACCCCTAAGTGACTCTTCTAAATCCAGATAATCCTCTGAGAGTCAATCCACACACCCATCACCATCAGTTTGTCAGAGCCTGACAGTCTCCAGGGCCGGCAGGAAAGGAAGCAGGGCCCATTGAGATTGCCCCCCTCTTCACTGTTAGGAATGATCTTTTAGGTCTGGTGTGAGGGCCTGGCAGGGGTGTCCACTCTGGGAGTCAGAGGGGTCTCTTCTATTTCCCATGCTGGATTGTTGAAGAAAGAGGCAATTCACTTAAAATCAGCCTGGACCCCCATTTGCTTTGTTCCTTTTGAATCTATTCTGCTTTGCAAAGTTACTCCAGAGGGAATGCTGAATACGGCGCCAGGGTAATACAAAGGTAATGGAAACAGAAGCTGGAAGATCAACCCTGGAGAACCTGAAGCCGGTTCCCAGACAGCTTGGACCAGAGGGGAGATCAACAGAGACAAACTTAATCCTGTCCTCACGGAGTCCTGCCCACTAGGCTTTAGTGAAAACCACTGTGCTTTTTCCTCTGTTCCTGGAGAATTTTAACAAAACAGCCCCGAGCCCTACAAGGAAGGGGAGCAGAAGGTTCCCCCACAGCTGGATTGGGTACTTCAGAGATCTGTTGAGCTCTGTGTCTGGAAGGACGATGCAAACTGGCAATGAGGAACAGGTCTATGAGGGTCAAGAGACCAGCTTGTCTCTAGAGCCAGAAAGAACTGATTCGTCCAGTTTGACCCCTTCGCCGTACAGTGATGAACACAAAAACGGAGGGAGCAAGATCCACCCATGTCACGTGGGACCCATTTCAAATGCACAACTCCCAGCTTCCAGTCTCGCCCAGTCTGATGGGTGGGATATTAAAGATTGTTGTTCATTCATGCATTCATTCATTCATTTACTGACCAGCAAGCTTTATCTTAGTCCTGTGTAAGAACTGTTGGAGACTCAGGGGAAACACACCATATGATCTTTGTACTCTAGGAACTTAAATTCTAAGTGCATATGCACACATAAATACACATATACACACATGCAAGCACATGTGAACATATTTGCTCATATCCATCCAAACATACACCCAGGAACAATTTGATAGCTATAGAGCTGTACAATTCCTCCTGGAATTCAGACCCATCTCCAGCCTGGGCCCTTTCTTCCTCCAGGGCTTTCAGGCCTTGGGGAGCTTCTGGAGGACCAGAAATCTGTGAATACTACCAGTCTCCAGGCTTCCCTGAGATGCGGGCTGAGGCTTCTCTAAGGCAGAGCCATGAGGAGATGCAGAGGCCCTTTTGGTCCTGCGGAATCATGACTGTTCAAGGTTTCTGTGTCAGGAGGAAGAACCCCACTCCTGCCTCTAAGTACAGGATCCAGCATAGAGCCATGGAAGGAGAGGAACAATCTCTCCTGGTTGAAAACTTGAGGTGAAAGGATCTAAAGGCAAAAGAACAAATCAAAGGTAATGACCTGAGAGTTGCTCAGTTCCTGGGGACAGAAGTATTCATAGTTGGTGGCCAGAGGACTTTCCCACCAGAGCAGGCTCACCCACATGCATGGCCACAGAGCTCCATTGACACTGTCATCTCTAACTGTTAGAGCTTATCCAGAGACTCATCTTCTGAGCCTCAGCATACTCTTGGTAATTCTCAAGGAGCATAAGTGTTCCTTTGTCGGGAACCAAAATCTTAGGGGTCAAGGATCAATCCACACTCATCTCTAATCAATGCAGGTGGCTCACTCCCCTTCCTCTCAATTCAACAAGTGTGTGAGTGATGGCGAGGGGAAAGGAAGGAAGGTTAAAGGAAAATCATAAAGGAAAACAAGGTTAATCATAGACTCACTCACAAAGGAGGCCTCCTGTAAGGAAGCAAGGAGACCTCTACTGAGTGCCTAGGCCATAGTAGGGAGATCTGTGGACGTATAAACTGATACAATCTCTCAGAAAAATGGTGTGGGCCATTTGTGGGACTTAAAGGTATGTGTCCTCTGACCCAGTATTTTTACTTCTAGAAATGCATCCAAAGGAGATAATCAGAAACATCCATGGAGGTATGCAATGGGACATGGCCTAAATATCCCTCAGTGGGGTTGGTCAGATCCATCATAGTATAGTCTACAATAAAATATTATACAGCTTTAAGAGTAAATAAATACTGTGGTTGCCCCTCTTGGTCCACATCTCCAAGTTGCATTGGTGAAGCATGAAAGAGGTCTGTGACAAGAAAGGGAGAGTGTCACTGAGGCCCCTGGGCAGCGCTGGGGGAGGCAGAGAGGTCAGGCAGAGGTAGGGCCTATGAAAGGAACGGGAGGAGACTCAGGTCCAAATGGCCCTGACCTGGGGAAGGGGTTGTGGCATGCTCTGGCCCTGGGACAGCTGGGGCCCTGGCACTGGCTCCAGGCTTTTGGTTTAAAGAGCTTTAAAAGCTTATTAAAAAGGTTCCTTAGACATCAAATGGCTCTTAAAAATCAATATTTTGATGATTTAAGTGCAAGGGAATCAGAAACATATGGATCGAATTGCCCTCAAATTATACACACTTTAAAAAATGTGTTGGTCTTTAGCAGGCTCCAAATATTTGAAAAGCAGACACATTGTCCTCATCTCCAGACAAAAGTCACCTTAAAGAGTCTGCAAAGGAGGCCTGTGGGTGCTGGCAGGACTCAGGGGAAGAGGTGTGGTGGTTCCTCTAAAGGAGCCTTCTACATAGGTGGGACAGGGAGGGGCAACTCTATGTGTGTGTGTGTGTGTGTGTGTGTACGGGGAGCCATGGCTCTGGTCTCTCCATATAATGGCTGGACTCTGAAAGCAGAGCTGAAGAATCACAGTTCACAACCTAAATCCTCAACCTACAGGAAGGTGTGTCATGGGGTCATAGGAAGCTTATCTCAATTCAAACCTACATCTGTTCACTGCACCCACTCCTTCCCCAGCAGAAGCCTTGCTCCAGGAGGTGTCAGAGCCTAGGAGACCCAGTTATCAGTCTTGTGTGGATGTAAGGCAAGGTGGTGGTGGGGGGGCTTCATTTTGGTGAAGAGCTCCTCTTCCAGTTCTGGAAGGAGGCAGTTGGGTTGGGAGTGGGGCCCTGTGGTTTTGAACTCTGTCCTGGAACCTTTGAGGAGGAGAGGCATATCTGGAGGACTGGGCTGAAGCAGAGGAATAGATAGAGGGCTAGCCACCTTCCCCTTCCAGCCCTTCCTCCTGCCCCTCTGGTTTAGGCCTTTTAAGCCCCCTTTCCCAATTCCCCGACACATACCTTGTTGGCCTTAGCCAAGTCCTGGGTGGGCTGCATGGAGGTAAGTGAGAGATTACTATCCTGGAAGGGAGAACTGTGGTTCAGCTAGCTCCTGGGGTTGTCCCTGGCCATCCCATTTCCCTGGTTAGACCCATTTGTGACCTGGGATTTGCTCTTCTCCATTGACCCCTGAGAGTCCACTCCATCATGTAACATGCTGAACCCTGGGCCTGCAATGCCTCAGGCCAAAGGATGATTCTCTGTTCCAGGCCCCCAAATAGCCCTTCTCCCAGGGCCTCACAGTTAGGCTGCTGGCCATTAGCTGTGCCCCCTGTGCCCATCCCTCAGCCAATAGCACCATGTTCATTACTGTAATGATTTCTACCTGGATGGGCAGGCTCACGGGCCAGGATAGAGACTTAGCTCTCTACACCTTGAGTGCACCTTCACTGAACAGTCTGAGGAGGGAGGCAAAGGGAAGGACCATCAGAAAGAGAAAGAAGGGGGAGATGGGCAAGGTCTTATAGGGGATGTTGGCTGGCACAGGCCTATGAGGCAGAGCAGGTCGTTAGTAACTAGCCAGTGACCATAGGGCTGACATTAGGGGACTCAAAGGAGATAACAGCCACCCTAGAGAGTCTTTGCAGCCCTGCCCTCTGCACCTTCTTCAGGGAATTCTGGTGACAGCCCTCACATCTGGATGAAATGAGGAAAACTGGTAAAAAGGGGGATGGATGCACTGGGATACACGGGGATGCTCTGGGCAGACAGTAGGAAGCGAATGGGGTTCTTAAGGATTTCTGACCATTACTGAGTATCTCAGGTATGGGGCTGAGAGTTGGCAACAGATTCCCAAGAGCCATGGCCACCTTGACTGCATAAGCTGGAGTGTGGCCTGAGAAATGCAGAGGAAAATGAACGGGGACTTACAGTTCTCTAACCCTAATGGAAGAAGGGGGAGCAGGAAAGTGATGCCCAGCCTGAGTTGCTTCTCTCTGTCACTTAGCACTGGCCTCTGAAGATCCCACCAGGGAAAGAAACAAGGGCCTGGAACTCAGTCTCTGATTTAGACTAGACAGGTCCTGGAACGGCAGCCCCATGGCCCGGGACACCTCTGTATATGTCGCTGTTCTGTTAGTGTGCTGGGGTCTGCTTCCATGACAAAGGGAGGCCATGCTATCGTCTAGCCCTTGCTCCCAGAATTCCCAATGTGTCTTTGATCCAAGGCTGGACCTGGGCTAGGGAGGACTCTTCAAATCTGGGATCATCCTCTAGCTTTACCTCTATACCTTAACTTCTGACACCCAAGCCGCATTCACCACATGCCCATCCTAACCCACTCTCTCTGAGGCTTGGTGCAAGCTCCCCACTTCTGACAGCAAGGACCAAGTGCTTTCTTCCATAGCAGCCTGGTGGGGGAATCTTGAAGTCTGCTAAGCTTGGATTTTGCAGGGTGCACTCTGTGCTCTGCCACACTTCTATCTCCCCACTCTCTCCTGCACCCAGTACACTGATGTCTAGGTCCAGACTTCTCCAAAGCTCTAACCCAGCACCTTTCTCATCAGATCCACATCCCTAAGTCAATGGGATGCACAGCCAAAGCTGGTGCAGCCTCTTCTTCCCTTGGATTTCTGTCTACAGTGGTAGACACTTAGCAGATCAGAATTCTTGGATCTATCCTTGACATTGACTTTGCCCTTATCCCCTCAAGTCAATTCATCATAAGCTTCTCCTTCTAAATGTCTGTCACATCTGTCCTCTCATCTTCCCACAGTCCCTAAATTGCTCAGTCCTTCCTTCTTACTTCTCCCTCTCCTCCTTCCCTATCCCCTTCCCCCTTCCCCTCCCCCTCTCCTTTTTATAATCCTATAAATGGAATACCTAAGACCTCATGCATGCTGGGCAATTATTACAACACTGAGCATTATTGCCTAGCCCTATTTTTACTTTTAAAATCTATTTGTCTATGTGTGTTTGTACTTATGCATGTGCAGGTGTGTGTGTGTGTGTGTGTGTGTGTGTGTGTGTGTGTGTCTATGTGTGTGTGTACTTATGCATGTGCAGGTGTGTGTGTGTGTGTGTGTGTGTGTGTGTGTCTATGTGTGTGTGTACTTATGCATGTGCAGGTGTGTGTGTGTGTGTGTGTGTGTGTGTGTGTCTATGTGTGTGTGTACTTATGCATGTGCAGGTGTGTGTGTGTGTGTGTGTGTGTGTGTGTGTGTGTGTGTGTAGGCAAATTATTCTCCTCCACCTATTTATTTATGAAACAAAGTCTCTCACTGAACTAGAACTTCCTGATTTGGCTAGCCTGGCTGACCACAGAGACCCAGGAATCCTCCCATCTCTGTCTCTACTACAGCAAGGTTATCATGCCCAACTTTTACCTGGGAGCTGGGGCTTGAACTCAGGTCCTCGTTCTTACACAGTAAGCACTTTACCAACTGGGCCATCACCCCAGCTCTTACTTTTAATTGATTATTTATCTATCTATCTTGCTTGTTTGTTTGAGACAGGGTCTCACTATGTCATTCTGACTGGCCTGAACTCTCTATGCAGACCAGGCTGGCCTCAAACTCACTGAGATCCACCTGCCTCTGCATGTGTTGGGATTAAAGGTGTGTGCCACCATGCCCAGCTACTTTGATTTT